GTCCTCAGGCTGCCCCCCGCAACAACCTGCCCTTTCCCCAACGCCTTCCCCCCTCCCTCCGCCTCCAATTCCTTTCATCCAACTCCAACTCCCGAGCCTGCCTCCCCTCCGCCTCCCCCGTTCCACTCGTGCCTCGCGTGCTTTTCCGGTTCTTCCATCATGAGGTCATCACTCCCATGCCTGTTTGCTCTAGGCGTGTTCGATTGTTTTGTTCAGCTCACAAAACAAACCTAATTCCGCATTCCACACCACTCACCCGTCCAAGTACCCCACTCACCCGTCCAAGTACCCCCCACCCCCTCCATCCCCCTCCGTCCGTGAGCCGCTCATTCGGTCACGGGGAAGAGGCCATGACCGTGAAAGCATGCCTTAAATTGAACCCCCCTCCGCGTTTCCTGCCCGCCTCCCCACCCACCCCCTTCCGCGTGCCCTCCCCCTCCGCGCGTCCCTCTTCGGCGCGCACCTGGACATAGGAGAAGGAGTCGTGCGGATTGGTGATAAAATTGTAATCCTACTAAAAGACCCAATTCCGCGTTCCCCTACCCCCTTTCCACGTTTCCCCAGCTCCCCTCTCCGCGCGCCCTCCCTCCCCCCAAACAATGCGCCCCTCTGCCCGCGCACCTGGTCTTTCGAGAAGAGGTCGTGCGACTTGGTGATGATGCTCACCAGCTTGACCTACCCGTGCCCTCGCCCCCCCTCCTTTTCTCCATGCCCCTTCCCCGCTTCCTCGTTCCCCTTTCATGCCATGCCCTACCTCCCCCCTCACCTGGTCTTTAGAGTAGAGGTCGTGCGCCTTGGTGATGATGGTCAGCAGCTTGCCCTCAAAACACTCCCACCCATCCCCCCCCCTTCACCCCGTGCGCCTGCCCTTCCTCCCCTCGTGCCATGCGCTCCCCCTCCTTCCGCGCCCCTCACCTGGTCTTTGGAGTAGAGGTCGTGCGCCTTGGTGATGATGGTGAGCAGTTTGCGGTTGAGGATCTCCGACGGGCTCACGCCCATGCGCCCCACGCCCGACATGCCCGCGTTCGAAAACCCCGCGTTCGAGAACCCGCCCATCGAGAACCCCGCGTTCGAAAACCCGCTGCCTCCGCCCGCGCTCACGCCCGCCGCGGCTACCATGGCGGAAGCGGAAACTCCGCCGAATCTATCCATCCCTACGCCTCCGCCGAACCCGCCACCTAGCCCGGCCCCACCGCCGCCGCCGCCGCCGCCGCCGATCATGGACTCGACGCAGCTGTAGGCGGTGGGGGCCATGGCGGAAGCATGCTGGATGCTTCGCGCTCCGAACGACCCCCCGAAGCCGCCCGCGTTGTTGCCGATCGCCGCGAGGTGCGGGCACGCCATGGGGCCGAGCTCCGAGTGCGCTCCGTGCATGCCGTGCTCCGCGTGGCAGTTGGGCCCGCAACCCCCGCCGTGATTTCCGGCGGCGCCGAACACGTCGCGCGGCTGGAGGTGGCCGAGCGGGCCGCTGGACGGCAGGTCCGCGTCGAGCTCGCGCGCGCGCGGAAGGTTCAGCGAGCGCCGGCGGGACGACGTGGACGCGCTGTCGCTGGACGTCAGACCGTACGGCGAGCCGGTAGAGCTGGCGGCCGCGCCGCCCACGCCGCCGCCGATGCCGATGCCCTCGCGCGACGACTGCGAGCGCAGCGCCGAGAGCGGCCCGAGCACGTCTTCATTCGCGCTGCCACCGGGAGGGCCATTGCTGCGCGCCTTGAGCTGCGCGAAGAGGCGCTGCGTGGCGGGCAGCGAGACGGCGGGGGGCGCGGACGGGGACGTTTCCCCGCAGTGCTCGCACCTGGAGGGACGTGCGCGCGTAGGGGCGCGGATGGTGGAAGGGCGCGGATGGGTGAACGGATGGGGCGCGGATGGCGGAACGGAATAAAATTAGGGGGTGGAGAGGGACGGACGGGCTTTGACTAGCTAAGAGGAGACATTTGAATCGACTCAAAGTCAAACGGCGAGCTTTGACTAGTTGGTTGCCCCACGGCGCGCCGCGCAGTGGATGGACGAACTTAGGCTACACTACTTGGGTCGGACTAAACCTTTCGGAGCGGCGTTACTTCACACTCGCTGCTGTCACACCGCTGGCTTTAGCAATTGCGCAGACTCGAAGGGCGGGCTTTAAGATCCCGAGGAACGGCCCGTTACTAAAGCTTCGCGGCGATTCGTCGCACTCACCTGCTGGACGCCGACTCGAGCGCGTTAACGATTTCTAGCCAATCGGACTTGGCCAGCTTCACCGTCACCATTTCTGCTCCGCCCGCGCCGTTCGCGCCGGGCGGCCGGTCGTCTTCCGCGCTGTCGAGCGACGTGCGGGAGTTGCTGTGCTTCAAACCGCGCTGCTGCTGCAGGTGTTGGTGTTGATGCTGATTCGGATGTTGCGGCGACGCGCTATGCATCGTATGGTGCGGCGACGCTTGGTGGTGCGGCGATGCCTGGTGGTGCTGCGACGGCGTTTGGTGCGGCGACGTGTACCCGCGATCCGGTAAACTCGAGCGGCGGCCGAGTGGCGGCGGGTGGTTTGCCCATGGCGGCGCGGTTGGCTGCTCCTCGTGGCGCTGGTCGCCAGGCGACCGGTGGCCGGCATGCGACGTCGAGAACATGCGCTGCCATCGCTTCGCTAGCGTCGGCGCCATCTGTGTGCTAGATCATGCGATGGGGACGGGATGGGTAACTGAAACTGTCGTGGCTATGCCGGCGGCGAGGATAGACTGGTTACCGCGTTGGACGGCACAAGCGGACGAAGATAACGCAGCTTCCAGATAATGCGCGTTGAACCAGCCTCTGAGAAAAAACGTCTCACTCTAAGGCCGGAGTCCTGTTGGTTCAGGCACACGACACGACACGAGTAACCCTAACGGATTAGGAAACTGTCGTTCACTGGGGATCTCTCCTCCAGTGAACTGTCAGTCAACCCTAACTGGGGTCTCGCTTCGCTTCTCCTTACAGCACTGCGTAGCACTAAGCTCCTCCCTTTCCGCAACCAACGATCTTCACGGCGCGGTGGCGTTGAGGCGAGTGAACTCGCTCTGCTTTGGTGGACCTTGGTGCTCCTTTTCCCTCTTCTCCCCCCTCCTCACCCTCCCTCCCCCTCTTGATGAGACGTGTCACGTGCTGCCACCAGGAGATTCATCCTGTTTGTCGTTTCGCCAACTTACTTGCCCTGTCCATCCGTGCGACTAGGGAATTGCTGCCCAAAAGGTCCCTTCGGTCAGTGACACAAGGGATGGGCTGACGTGTGCGTCTGAAGGTGACACGGATGACAAGACGTAAGGTCAGCAGTTGCTGTTCGGGCAGCTTTCTTGCCGCCATTGGCTGTGAGATTCTGTGTGAGTGCATATCCCGCTGAAAATGGGGATGGGATGGGGTGTCAGCCATCAATTGTTCCTTCTACCCGTGGTTAAAATCGTAAGCGCTAATGGTTCGGAACATGTAGTTCACGACTGCCTGAAGTTCGGACGACCAAATGGGCTGGACATGGTTTTACAGGATTAAACAGGTTGCGATGTGGTTCCAGTGTGATGAAGCTACCAGCTGATATACGATACAACACAACTAACTATTCCTGGGTATTGTGAAAATGCGAAGGGGCCGTTGTTGGTTCAAGTGTTGTTTCACCAACCGTATTCCTGCAAGTCATACAATGGATTGGGGCAGCACGAGACAGAAAATCAACTTTGGGCAAAGTTATGGCCAAGAAAGCTTGACGGACACATATCTGGCTTACACCAATAGCATGCGTTTCTCGACTGTCGCGTCATAATGGAGGTCGAAATGGAGAAGATTGTGCTAGATACACACCCTGAAATGCTGGGTACCCGAAACGCCCAAAAGCGGTTGGCCCAGTTCGGCAGGCATTATGGCCATTATCGCCATTATCGGCCATTTTAACGGGCCCCCAAAAAATGGCCCCAAGAAACAGACTGTAGCTGCAGTGAAACTTCGGAAAAAATGACCCGAGTGTTCGGTTGGCATTAAATGGGCCAAAAATAATGGCACCAGTCGGAAACGACACTTCGGGGAAGCCCGTATGCAGCTGCACTGATAGAGCGTGGAATCACTGTACGGGCAGCCTGGGCAGCCTCGCAAAGCAGCGGTGGACGCCGAAAAAAATCGCACAAGGCATACTGTGCGTTCGATGTGTTAGAGATGGTGTGTTGGTGATGTGCGATTTTCCAGCGGGCACGAAGAGGGGTGAGAAAGACCGAGATTTGTTTTTTCAGAGCAAAGTTGGATTTCCCCGAATCAATGATCCCCGCATGGTGCGGGGCCTCGAGGCCGCATGGTGCGGCGGATGAGAAAATGGACAGTTTGCCTGAGAAAAAGGGTTCGAGGAAGGTTCCTCTTGTGAAAAATGCCAGCGTTAAAAGGGGTGTTCGGCTGGCATTCCATTATTGTCTGGTTCGGCGATGATCCGCTTATATCGAGCCTAGATAACCTTTCGCGCGCTTATCAAAGAAGGTTCCAGGGTGGTCGGTTTACTGTAGCCCATACGGGGAAACCGTTTTTTTAATGCCTGCCGAACTGGGTCAAGGTTCCGTTGAATATACACCCTGAGTTCTGCGTTTTGAACTTCGAGGTTTGTAAAGTCCGCGTTGTAAAGCTGAGCACACCATGCCGCGTTATGATAAGGACTTGGTGCCAGTCCAGTGGAACATATGTCGGGAGTCTCGAGAACCAGCCTCAGGGTCCAAAAACGAATATATTGTATGGTGAAGTTTGTTCAGAACAAGGTAAGTACATCGAGAATTCTGTTCAGGGTTTAGGATCCCGTTCGCAAATCAATGCAATGCTGCAAATCGCTCTGTACTCGTTAACAGCTTGTGCAACATTAGTAAGCATCTAGGCTTGCAGTCACACAAAAGTACATGCTAACTTCTAGAGGAGAAGTCTTCGGATCATTACATAGCACAGATAGACAACTATTAGATTAGATTATGCCTTCTAATTGCACCAATATAAAACCATCGTTGCCATCTTTCCAATGATGCGACAAGTAATCATCCATTTTCCATCTGCACAGCTTGCAGCAACACATCTGCCAACCGCTGAGCTTCCAACATAGCACCAACAACAGCCACCCTCTTGCACAGCACTGGCAGCACCGGCTCCACCCATCTCAACCTCGTTTTGATCACATCGGCTATATCCTGCATGCTCCTATCATCCACCGACCCATCCTCCACCTCCTCCCTCTCCCTTTCACTCGCATTCGCCAATAACCCCCTATCACCCCAATAGTGATTCACACGAATGAACCCAGGATCAGCCACTATGGTCTCTCCGGAGTGCATGATGGCGCGGTGGGGGGCGTGGGAGAGGAACCCGATGGCAGCGGCGGGCTGCAGCAGCATCTTCCCTCGCAGGCGGTCGTGGTGGTCGGGGGGGCGGTGTGGGCGGTGGATGAATCGCTCTATAGTGAGTCGTGCAGGAGGGGGGCGTGGGTAGCCTATGAAGAACTGATTGTATAGCAGCACCTGAGGGGATGACGAGGGAGGGGGGTGCGTTGGGGAATGCAGGAGGGTGAGGTGAGGCTGCAAATGGTACCGGGTTTTGAGAGATCTCAACTCAATCCAACTGTAAAAGAGTCAAAAGAATGTCAAGCAAAGGGCAGACAGTGGGGCGTGCAGCACCCGAACAGTGCAATCAGTACGCAACAGCATCCTCTCACCTGAGTCGCCTCTTGCGCCTCCCCCTCCCCTGCCTCTCCCTCCTCTCTCCTTGGTCCTCCTGCCCTGCCAGCAGCACCAGGAGCGCGGTGTTGGGTGGCGCATGGGCGGCGCAGCAGGAGGCGAGTGAGGAAGCCCGGGCGGGTGTCACGCGGCATGAAGAGGTACTCGTCCACGTCAGCAATGGCCACCCACTTGGACTCGTGCCGGTGGTGCTGGATTGGTGGGGCCAGCAGGGGGGAAGAGTGTGGGGGAGGGGGGAAAGGGGTGCGGGTTGGGGAGAGGAGTGGGCATGCAGGGAGGGGAGTGTGAAGAGTGCGCATGCAGGGAGGGGAGTGTGAAGAGTGCGCATGCAGGGAGGGGAGTGTGAAGAGTGCGCATGCAGGGAGGGGAGTGTGAAGAGTGCGCATGCAGGGAGGGGAGTGTGAAGAGTGCGCATGCAGGGAGGGGAGTGTGAAGAGTGCGCATGCAGGGAGGGGAGTGTGAAGAGTGCGCATGCAGGGAGGGGAGTGTGAAGAGTGCGCATGCAGGGAGGGGAGTGTGAAGAGTGCGCATGCAGGGAGGGGAGTGTGAAGAGTGCGCATGCAGGGAGGGGAGTGTGAAGAGTGCGCATGCAGGGAGGGGAGTGTGAAGAGTGCGCATGCAGGGAGGGGAGTGTGAAGAGTGCGCATGCAGGGAGGGGAGTGTGAAGAGTGCGCATGCAGGGAGGGGAGTGTGAAGAGTGCGCATGCAGGGAGGGGAGTGTGAAGAGTGCGCATGCAGGGAGGGGAGTGTGAAGAGTGCGCATGCAGGGAGGGGAGTGTGAAGAGTGCGCATGCAGGGAGGGGAGTGTGAAGAGTGCGCATGCAGGGAGGGGAGTGTGAAGAGTGCGCATGCAGGGAGGGGAGTGTGAAGAGTGCGCATGCAGGGAGGGGAGTGTGAAGAGTGCGCATGCAGGGAGGGGAGTGTGAAGAGTGCGCATGCAGGGAGGGGAGTGTGAAGAGTGCGCAGAGCAGGAGGGAGGGAAGGACGAGGTGAGAGAGGAGCACGTTACCTGCAGGAAGTGCGAGAGCGAGGAGTCCTGGTCAAAGTGGTAGTCAGCGCCAGCAGGGGGAGGCGCTATCTGGTGCAGGCGGTGGTACGTGAGCAGCCCTGCCCGTGTGTACACTGAGAGGGTGGTCGCCTGGCTCTCTGCGTCGCTGGCTGCGCAGTCGTACCAGTAGATATGCTCCGTGCCCGCATACCGCATGTACTCTATCCACTGCACGAGGAGAGGGTGGGTTGGAAGGAGGAAAAGGTGGAGGGGAGAGGAGGGAAAACTGATGCAGCGCAGTCGTACCAATAGATGTGCTCTGTGCCCGCATAGCGCATGTACTCTATCCACTGCACGAGGGGAAATTGAGGGTAGGGGGAGGAAGTAGGGGCACACATAAAGGCACAGTCGTACCAATAGACGTGCTCCGCGCCCGCATACCGCATGTACTCTATCCACTGGTGGGAGGGGGAGGGATGGGAGATGGGAAGGGTGGGGGGAGGAGGGCAACAGTTGGGCTCCACTGGGTCGTGCAGTAAGAGCGTGAGGATGTAGGCTCTCTCTACCACATAGCAACAGCAGTTTTCCTAGGTGGTGAAAGCCCAGACTGGGTGGGCGCACACCTGGAAGATGGCGAACACTGCCACCTGGCACCGCTCTGAACCACTGCCTGCAGAGCGAGCAGCAGCAGGGGCAGCAGCAGCCGCGCGGTTGAACGCCATGGCTGAGAGGAAATACTTCCACTGCTCCCCGCCACCCTCCCTGCTTCCCCCGCCTCTCGTGCCCTTCCCCGCACTCGCCCTGCTGTTCCACATCCTGCCCCACCACCCACTCCCCTTGCGTGCTGCTCCCCACCCCTTCCTGCCATGCACCGCTTCACTGCCTTGGCTGCCTTGACTCGCTTGACTTCTCCGGCTGCTCTGCCCGCTTTGTCCCAACCCCACTGCCAGCCTCCCTTCCACCCCAAGATCAATCGCCCCTGCTGCTCCGTCTCCCCCTCCCCTTCCCCCCCCTCCCTCTCCCCCCTGCGCTGCCCATTCGTCTGCCAGCTTGCCCAGCCAATAGCGGTGCCTGGAGGGAGCTCTGCTGCGGCCAATGGGAAGCAGCCACGTGGGCAGGAGGTGGGAGAGCCAGGGAGGGAGCCACGTGGCAGAGGATGATTGGTGGAGGGCGAGGAGCACTCGAGCCAGCCTGGCACGGCCGGCGGCATCATACGGGTCAACTCGGTCAACGTGGTGGTCAACTGGGTCAACAGGGTCAACTGGGTTAGTGTGGTTGACAGGGTCAGCCTGGTCAACGGGGTCAAGATTGCTACCTTGCGTAGCTGTGCTGCTGCTGCTGGTGGTACTGGTGGTGCTGGTTTGTGTTGAGACAATGGGCAATGGGGTTGGGAGCAGTGCAGTAGCAGCGGAACAGTGGGTGCGGTGGAAAAAGCGAGGCAGTGAGAGGGCGGTAAGAGAGGGGTCAGAGGGGAGGGATGCATTGGAGGGGTCAGGAGCATGGGACGCATGGCGGGCATGGGAGGGGGCATGGTGGGAGCAGGCGAGGGCGATGGCAAGGGCCTCGATGCTGTGCGCCATGGCTGCATGCACCCGCGCGTCACGGTCCCTCTGCTGCGGTATGGCACAGGTGAGAGCTGGGGCAGGTGGATCTGCGTGCATGCAGAGAGAGGGAAGGGGGGTAGGCAAAAGTGGAGGAGAAGGGGGAGGGATAGGAGGAATGAGAGTGAGGATGGTAGGTGTGGGTAGAGCATTGGGAGTTGAAGGCAAATAGACAAAGGAATTGACTAATGGCATGTCACCAAATCGTGTGACGGCATGGCACAGCATGGCATGTCAAGGCATGGCAAGGAAGGGCAGGGAGCAGCATGGGTGGGGGCGACCTTGAGGAGGCGGTGGTTGGTAGGGCTCCACAAGGCGCTGGAGGAAGGAGTCCCGTGACCTGCATGGCATGGCACGGCACAGCATGGCACGGCATGGCACGGCACGGCGCGGCATGGCACGGCATGGCACGGCATGGCACGGCATGGCATGGCATGGCACGGCACGGCACGGCATGGCATGGCATGGCACGGCATGGCATGGCATGGCATGGCACGGCATGGCACGGCATGGCACGGCACAGCATGACACGGCATGGCATGGCACGGCATGGCACGGCACGGCATGACACGGCATGGCATGGCATGGCATGGCACGGCATGGCATGGCACGGCATGGCATGGCACGGCACGGCATGGCACGGCATGGCATGGCATGGCACGGCATGGCATGGCATGGCATGGCACGGCATGGCACGGCATGGCATGGCACGGCATGGCACGGCATGGCATGGCATGGCACGGCACGGCATGGCACGGCATGGCACGGCATGGCACGGCATGGCACGGCATGGCATGGCATGGCATGGCACGGCATGGCACGGCATGGCATGGCATGGCACGGCATGGCATGGCATGGCACGGCACGGCATGGCACGGCATGGCATGGCATGGCATGGCAGGAAGGGCAGGGAGCAGCATGGGTGGGGGCGACCTTGAGGAGGCGGTGGTTGGTAGGGCTCCACAAGGCGCTGGAGGAAGGAGTCCCGTGACCTGCATGGCATGGCACGGCACAGCATGGCACGGCATGGCACGGCACGGCGCGGCATGGCACGGCATGGCACGGCATGGCACGGCATGGCATGGCATGGCACGGCACGGCACGGCATGGCATGGCATGGCACGGCATGGCATGGCATGGCATGGCACGGCATGGCACGGCATGGCACGGCACAGCATGACACGGCATGGCATGGCACGGCATGGCACGGCACGGCATGACACGGCATGGCATGGCATGGCATGGCACGGCATGGCATGGCACGGCATGGCATGGCACGGCACGGCATGGCACGGCATGGCATGGCATGGCACGGCATGGCATGGCATGGCATGGCACGGCATGGCACGGCATGGCATGGCACGGCATGGCACGGCATGGCATGGCATGGCACGGCACGGCATGGCACGGCATGGCACGGCATGGCACGGCATGGCACGGCATGGCATGGCATGGCATGGCACGGCATGGCACGGCATGGCATGGCATGGCACGGCATGGCATGGCATGGCACGGCACGGCATGGCACGGCATGGCATGGCACGGCATGGCATGGCATGGCACGGCATGGCATGGCACGGCATGGCACGGCATGGCATGGCACGGCACGGCACGGCATGGCATGGCATGGCACGGCATGGCACGGCATGGCATGGCACGGCACGGCACGGCATGGCATGGCATGGCACGGCATGGCATGGCACGGCATGGCATGGCACGGCACGGCATGGCACGGCATGGCATGGCATGGCACGGCATGGCATGGCATGGCATGGCACGGCATGGCACGGCATGGCATGGCACGGCATGGCACGGCATGGCATGGCACGGCACGGCATGGCACGGCATGGCACGGCATGGCACGGCATGGCACGGCATGGCATGGCATGGCATGGCACGGCATGGCACGGCATGGCATGGCATGGCACGGCATGGCATGGCATGGCACGGCACGGCATGGCACGGCATGGCATGGCACGGCATGGCATGGCACGGCATGGCACGGCATGGCACGGCACGGCATGGCATGGCATGGCACGGCATGGCACGGCATGGCATGGCACGGCACGGCACGGCATGGCATGGCATGGCACGGCATGGCATGGCACGGCATGGCATGGCACGGCACGGCATGGCACGGCATGGCATGGCATGGCACGGCATGGCATGGCATGGCATGGCACGGCATGGCACGGCATGGCATGGCACGGCATGGCACGGCATGGCATGGCACGGCACGGCATGGCACGGCATGGCACGGCATGGCACGGCATGGCACGGCATGGCACGGCATGGCATGGCATGGCATGGCACGGCATGGCACGGCATGGCATGGCATGGCATGGCACGGCATGGCATGGCATGGCACGGCACGGCATGGCACGGCATGGCATGGCACGGCATGGCATGGCACGGCATGGCATGGCACGGCATGGCACGGCATGGCACGGCATGGCACGGCATGGCACGGCATGGCACGGCATGGCACGGCATGGCATGGCACGGCACGGCACGGCATGGCATGGCATGGCACGGCATGGCATGGCATGGCATGGCACGGCATGGCACGGCATGGCATGGCACGGCATGGCATGGCACGGCATGGCATGGCACGGCACGGCACGGCATGGCATGGCATGGCACGGCATGGCATGGCATGGCATGGCACGGCATGGCACGGCATGGCATGGCACGGCATGGCATGGCACGGCACGGCATGGCACGGCATGGCATGGCACGGCATGGCATGGCACGGCATGGCACGGCATGGCATGGCATGGCATGGCATGGCATCGCACGGCATGGCACGGCATGGCATGGCACGGCATGGCATGGCATGGCATGGCATGGCATGGCACGGCATGGCACGGCATGGCACGGCATGGCATCGCACGGAATGACACGGCATTGCATGGCATGGCACGGCATGGCATGGCATGGCATGGCATGGCATGGCACGGCATGGCACGGCATGGCATGGCACGGCATGGCATGGCATGGCATGGCATGGCACGGCATGGCATGGCACGGCATGGCACGGCATGGCACGGCATGGCATGGCACGGCATGGCATGGCACGGCATGGCATGGCACGGCATGGCATGGCACGGCATGGCACGGCATGGCATGGCACGGCATGGCATGGCACGGCATGGCACGGCACGGCATGGCACGGCATGGCATGGCACGGCATGGCATGGCATGGCACGGCATGGCACGGCATGGCATGGCACGGCATGGCACGGCATGGCATGGCACGGCATGGCATGGCACGGCACGGCATGGCATGGCATGGCATGGCACGGCATGGCACGGCATGGCACGGCATGGCACGGCATGGCACGGCATGGCACGGCATGGCACGGCATGGCATGGCACGGCATGGCACGGCATGGCATGGCATGGCACGGCATGGCATGGCATGGCATGGCACGGCATGGCACGGCATGGCATGGCACGGCATGGCATGGCACGGCATGGCATGGCACGGCACGGCATGGCATGGCATGGCACGGCATGGCATGGCACGGCATGGCATGGCATGGCATGGCACGGCATGGCACGGCATGGCACGGCATGGCACGGCATGGCATGGCACGGCATGGCACGGCATGGCATGGCATGGCACGGCATGGCATGGCATGGCATGGCATGGCACGGCATGGCATGGCACGGCATGGCACGGCATGGCATGGCACGGCATGGCACGGCACGGCACGGCACGGCACGGCATGGCACGGCATGGCATGGCATGGCACGGCATGGCACGGCATGGCACGGCATGGCACGGCACGGCATGGCATGGCATGGCATGGCACGGCATGGCACGGCATGGCATGGCATGGCACGGCATGGCATGGCATGGCATGGCATGGCATGGCATGGCACGGCATGGCACGGCATGGCACGGCATGGCATGGCACGGCATGGCATGGCATGGCATGGCATGGCACGGCATGGCACGGCATGGCACGGCATGGCATGGCATGGCACGGCACGGCACGGCACGGCATGGCATGGCATGGCATGGCACGGCACGGCACGGCACGGCATGGCATGGCACGGCACGGCACGGCACGGCATGGCATGGCATGGCACGGCATGGCATGGCACGGCATGGCATGGCACGGCATGGCACGGCATGGCATGGCACGGCATGGCATGGCATGGCATGGCATGGCATGGCACGGCATGGCACGGCATGGCATGGCACGGCATGGCATGGCACGGCATGGCACGGCATGGCACGGCATGGCATGGCACGGCATGGCATGGCACGGCATGGCACGGCATGGCACGGCATGGCACGGCATGGCACGGCACGGCACGGCATGGCATGGCATGGCACGGCATGGCACGGCATGGCACGGCATGGCACGGCACGGCACGGCACGGCACGGCACGGCACGGCACGGCACGGCACGGCACGGCACGGCACGGCATGGCATGGCATGGCACGGCACGGCATGGCACGGCACGGCATGGCACGGCACGGCACGGCACGGCATGGCATGGCACGGCACGGCATGGCACGGCATGGCACGGCATGGCACGGCATGGCACGGCACGGCACGTCACGGCACGGCATGGCACGGCACGTCACGGCACGGCACGGCACGGCACGGCATGGCATGGCACGGCACGGCATGGCACGGCATGGCACGGCATGGCACGGCATGGCACGGCATGGCACGGCATGGCACGGCATGGCACGGCATGGCATGGCACGGCATGGCACGGCATGGCATGGCACGGCACGGCACGGCACGGCACGGCACGGCATGGCATGGCATCGCATGACACGGCATGGCATGGCATGGCACAGCATGGCATGGCACGGCATGGCATGGCACGGCATGGCATGGCACGGCATGGCATGGCATGGCATGGCATGGCATGGCATGGATGGCAAGCACATGGGGTGAGAATGGCATGAGATGAGGTGGCCGTTTACTGCCTGCCATGCCACGCTGCTCACAGCCTTACCAACTCCCCCACTGAATTGCTCCCATTGCATGCATTCCCTCTCCGTCCCCATCCCAGCTCCATTCCCCATCTCCCCCCACTTTGCCCCCTCCCCCTCACCCTCCCCACTCGCGTCGGCTCACTCCATCATATCGGGGAACACTGCCCTCAGCGCGTCCGCGATTTCCGCCGCCCATTGCGCCAGCTCCGTGACATTCCGCAGCACGGCCATCTCCTGCGACTGCTGCTGCGACTGCGACTGATCGCCATCGCCCTGCGACTGACTGCCGTCGCCCTGCGAATCCACAGCGGCCTCGCGGTCACCCAAATTTCCCAAGCTACTAACGCCCCCCGCCGATCCGCCCGCATTAGCGGCGCGGAGAAGCGGCGCATCGGGGGTTTGGAGGCGCGCGAGAAGCGCCACCTGCGAGAGCAGCAGCGCGACGGCCGCGCCGAGCAGGAAGGGGCGCGCGGAGAAGAGCGGGGACGCGGATGGGGGGATGGTGCTGACTGGGCGCGGGGACTGCGCGCGTGGCGGCATGGCGGCGGCGGATCAACGCGCGCCGGCGAAGGGGACTGGCAAAAAGCGCATGGCGAATCGTGCTGCGACGGGTGGACGACCAAAAGAGAGCCGCATAATCAGTGCGATGCGATCGGAATCGCAGCTAGGATACGCGAAAGCGAGTCACTACCTTGTAGCCTAAAATGTGCGATCAGTGATCTGCAGGTCACGAATCTGATCATAACTATGAAAAATCTCGACTCGACTCGACTCAAATCCACCTTTATTCAGATTCACCTGAATGAGAATTTTGTAGTTCCGGGTCTCCACCCCACGATGCTGCCGCTGCCGCCAGTGCCGTCCGAGTGTTAGTATCCAATCCGTGCCTGACTTGTTGCACTTTTACCGCGGAATCTGTAAAAGAGCATTCTAGTGTTTTCATGCGTGCCACGCGTCACCTAATGGGCACGTGATGTCACGTCCTCATGACATCGACTCTGCATGCTAACAGTCATGAAAGCATGGACCCCCGCTGCTGCCGGGATTTCCGCCGCAAGAGCCGCCGCATTGCTCGGCGCGCTCCTTCTCCTCTCCTCCGCGCATCCGACGCGGTCGGAGCGCCTCCTCGGGTCGCTGCTGCGATTCGGACGCGAGTTTGCCGCGACGCGTCTCAAATGGCGTACCAATAAAGACACGCCTATTCCCTCGCTTGCGCAGCTTCCCCCTGAACCCGATCCGCGCATCGATAACTACGATCCCGAAGCAGATGCGATCGACGGCGCCAGTCTCGACCTGCCTCGTGGCCCGCCGGAGCTGTCGGACCCGGAGCTGCGGGTGAGGTTCGGCACCGTCGCGCGACGCAAGGAGTCGTGGCTCGGCAGAGCGATGGACATGGACGAGGCGTGGGCGGCGTGGGACAAGGCCGTCGGCTGCGCCGCCTTCCGGACCAAGCACGCAGGTTCGGCGTCCGTAAACCCGCGCCTAGTGTCATGCATTCAGGGGATTCTCATTGCCGCGCTCCAATGTCGCACGTTGTGACATGTGAGGTGCATGCAGGGCAGGGAATCATCTCATGCACAGCAGCAAGGTACCATGGCTCAGATGACCACTCCCTTGCACATGTGCTGGTGGCTGGGTGCTCACCGCTTTGCTCCACCTCAGATCTCATCGCCCAGTACCAGAACGACACGTGGCCCCAGAGCAGCAGCTTCCAGGATGCTTCCCCCCTGCCGTGTTCTGCTCTCAAGCTGCCTCACGTGTCCATTCAGGTAGGTACCTCATGGTACCCATCAGGACCGAGGCAACTTGACGGCAGGATATGCCAATAGTCGTGCGGTCAGGACGTGACCATGTTCACTCTCAAGCTTCGTGCACTCCACATTCATGCCCTCCACATTCATGCATGCTGTGCTGCGCCCTCTCCATCCATCCCCTCGCCGCGCCGTGCATTCACATGGGTCCTCCCAGTATCCATTCATCCATATTCCCAATTCTCCCACCCCTCAACCGCTTCACATCTTACCGCATCTTCTTGTTCCTCCCCCCCACTTTCACCTCTATTCATCCCTCCCCACCTTCCAGGTAGTTTCCTCCCCGTCCATCCCTGATTGGCTAGACGGTCTCTACACCTGCCCCTGCCACCTCTCCTGCTCCTTCTCCCGCTCCCCGACCCTCTCCCCCTCCCCACACGCTCTGCTTTTCGAGGGTGAATTACCCTGGGATTTTCCAAACCACCCGAGCAGCGTGGAGCGAGGCAGGCCATTGCTGGTGCAAATGGATATGGAGGGGCATGAGGGCGGGGGGGAGCAGGCAAGGACTGGTGATGGTGGTGGGGGTAGTGGCAGCAGCAGTAGCAGTGGTGGCAGTGACAGCAGTGGTGACAGGGGCAGCAGGCGCAGCAGGGTTGCAGCGGACATAAGGGTGGGGTACGGAGCGGGTGCAGACGTGCAGGTGACGTATGCGGGGCAGCTGGAGCATGCCGACCGCAACCGCCATGTGTCTGGGGTCAAGCGCAAGGTGCGCATGGGGGCATGGCATGGGAAGTGGCATTGAAGCAAAGCATGGGGATATGGCATGGGATGGCATGGCATCATGATCTTTTGTGAATGGTACATTGTTATTCGAAGCCTGCTTATGGCAGGTCCCTGACTCTCCATCCCATCACTGCATCATCCCATCCTCCCATCCCCCCCATCCCTGCGTGCCCCAGTCACCGCCTCTCATCCACGCAGCATCGCGGCCGTCCAGCTGGCGCGAGCGCATTGGAGCGCAGATGCGGCGCATGGCGCACAGCATAGGCAGCCGCAGCAACAACATGCGGGAGGAAGAGGCGGACGTGCTTGACACCTACCCCATGTGCACGTGCGTGCTCCATGCCCTCGGTGTGTGTGCGTGCCTTCATGTGGCTTTATGGGTTTCAATAAGGGGGCTGTGTTGTGAGTCACATGCATGCAGCACACAGCACTGGCAGCCGCAGCAACAACATGCGAGATGGAGAGGCGGACGTGCTTGAAACCTACAGCATGTACACGTACGTGCTCCGATGAGACGCCTCTGTTGCGCATCCACGCATGGCCTCCATGCACTGAGCACGTGCCTGTACGCACCGCGATAAGAGGCTTGAGCCGGTGTGTGCTTGAGACGTGCGCCATGTGCAAGTGTGTGCTCTGAGAAGTGGCCTGTGTCTGTGTGTGAGTGGCATGCAGCGCACATGCCATGGTGCCCGTCCATTCTGCGTAGCCCTCACCATGACCATTGGCGCAAGCAAGTGCTTCACCATGACCCCACGTTCATTCCTTCTCTCTGCGTCCTGCTCTTGCCATCCTGCTCTTGCCGTCCTGCTCTTGCCGTCCTGCTCTTGCCGTCCTGCTCTTGCCGTCCTGCTCTTGCCGTCCTGCTCTTGCCGTCCTGCTCTCACATGGCATGCAGCTATGCGGGGCCGCACGGTCAGAGAGTGGGCTCGCATGAACAAGGGAAGTTGGCAAAGAATGAAAGCAAAGGTGGCGAGGTGAAGCACGTGGGTGGGTCTGCAGCGACAGTAGCAGCACAGCAAGGAATGGGGAAGGGAGCAGGAGGAGGAGGAGGAGGAGGAGGAGGAGGAGGAGGAGGAGGAGGAGGAGGAGGAGGAGGAGGAGGAGGAGGAGGAGGAGGAGGAGGAGGAGGAGGAGGAGTGCTGCTGCTGCTGCTGGTAATGATGATGACAATGGTGGTGAGGAGGCAGCAGAGGAGGCTCGGCAGGAATCAGAGATTCGAAGGAGACCCATGAGAGGGATTCGCACAGGAGGGGGTGGAGTGTGGGGGAGGAGTGAGGAGAGCTGGGAGGAGGAGGAGGATGCAGGGGTGGGGATGCGGGGCGGGGGGCACAAGGACTGGTGGGACCACTTGCACTGCGTACAGTCACACTACCTCTTCAACCTCGTTATAGAGTCACGCGAGGAGCGTGGCTTCGTCACTGAAAAGTTCTTCCATGCACTGGAAGCAGGTGCATTGCATTGATGCTAATGGAAACGTTCTAGGAGACATGCGGGGCGGGCACAAGCACACTTGTTGAATATTATCTTCCTCTTGAGCTCCTCATCATGCTCCACCCGTTCCCTTCTCCCCGCTTTTCCGTTCCCACCTCTTATGCCTCAAGCCTTCCCTTCCCGTGCAACCCCACCACACTGCCCTCTCCGCCAACCCCTACTCCCACGCCCCTCCCTATTCCCACGCCCCTCCCAATTCCCACGCCCCTCCCTATTCTCACGCCCCTCCCAATTCCCACGCCCCTCCCTATTCTCACGCCCCTCCCAATTCCCACGCCCCTCCCAATTCCCACGCCCCTCCCAATTCCCACGCCCCTCCCTATTCTCACGCCCCTCCCTATTCCCACGCCCCCCTCCCTGCAGGCACAGTGCCGGTGTACTATGGGGCGCCGGATATCGACAGCTTTGCCCCACCCGACTCGTTCCTGAACGCAGATTCAATGCATCGGGACGAGCTGCGCCGCACCATAATGGCTGCGTCTGAGGATCCCGTGAAATACGCCAACTTCCACGCCTGGCGCAGGTACCACGACAAAGCTGACACTATTTTCGATCCTTTATATACATGTTGTCCTGTCTTCTTGAAGCTTTGTTTTTGCATCTTAAGACCTTACAATAGCTACTCTATCTGTTCCATTTTTCTCTTTCCGTGCAGATGTGGAGTGCTGGGGCACTATCAACTCGTGCTTAGACTCAGCATTGATTCATTTCCTTGCAGATTGTGTGCGTATATAAGCAGTAGATAGCAACATCTCTTAACAATATGAAATCGTCTCAGTTGTGCTAACAGCGAGGACGTCAGCCCAACCCCGTTCCCTCGAAATCCTCTTCACACTTCACACACCGCCACCAGCAACCTCACTCCACTTCCCAGCGGCCCTTTGAGCCTGCGGTAATCGCTGCAGTTCTAACCTAGCAAGTACACCTCATCTTAGACCAGCCTGTGCTAGTTGTTAGCGTAGCATTCGCAACGAACCTAACATAATTAAAAGCGTCACCTTTGCGCGCTTAGTGAACTAACCGTGCTCAACCCGTGCACTGTCGATACCGCCGCCGACTCCGCTTATCCGCCCGCCATGCGCGACTCCTCGCGAGCGGCGCACGCGCACGTGTACACATCCCCGCTCGAAACCCTAGATTCCTCCATAGCCATCCTCGGCGGCTGGCATGGCCAACCCGCGCAGCACTCCGCTTCCTCCTCCGCCTCGTCGCTCCCGCGCTCGTCCTCCGCCAGCGGCGCGGGGACCGCCATCTGGGACGCGTCGGTCGTCGAGGTGCGCGCGTATCTCGAGGCGATCGAGCGCTTATTCGATCTGATCGACGCCGCCAACATGCCTGGTGCGCCGCCCGGGATGGGCGGCGTGCGCGAGACGGCGAAGGCGATGCTGAACAATGTCGTGCCGCGCCTCGAAGAGGGATTCCTCCACGTGTTGCTCGCGGAGAGCCACCCCGTGCCACCCGATCGGGTACGCCTTTACCTTGCCGTGGTTTTCTGAGACGTCTTAAAACTCGGGTACGTTTTTACCTTGTTGTGACGCCTGGGTACGCAGAAGCAGCCGTGTTACTGAAAAACAAGAGCCATTGCCTGTACAGGTTCAATATAGCAGTTATACTCTTTTCCTATGTTTTCAACCGCGTATATCAGTGCTCTCCCCTCGTTCCCCGCCGTCCGCGCGCCCTTACCCCACCGCCCCCAGGTCAACGAGGCCGCCAAGCGCGTATCCAAGCCCCCGCGCTCCTCCGCGCCGCTCTCTCCCTCCGCGGCCGCCACCCCCGTCACCCCCTCTTCCCCCTCCTCCTCCCCCTCGTCCGCGTCCCTCGCGGTCTCCGCGCTGGACCGCGCGCCCTCCTTCCTCCCCGAGCCCGCCGTGTGGCGCCTCCACGCCATTGCGCGCGTGGCTGCGCGCGCGGGGCTCTCCCCCTCGCTCCGGCGGAACTACCGCACCGTGCGCAAGGTAGGTTGAGGATGCGCAATGTGTGGGGAGAATGCGCGAGGTAGGGGGAGGGTGCACAAGGCGTGAGGAGGGTGCGGAAGGTATGGGGAGAATGCGCAAGGCAGGGGGGTTTGGTGCTAGCAGAGCGGGCGTGAGGTAGGCAACGCGGGCAGGGGGGGGCCTGGATTGCAAGGCAAAGCGGTGCTTCATTGCCTTGCATGCAAGGTATCGAAGCACCGATTGCTGCTGCATGAGCTCATTCCCTCCCCTCCTCTCTCCCATTCCTCTCCCACAGGCAGTGTTAGAGGAATCACTGAAGCAGCTGGCAGCAGGGAGGTTCGACCCTCGCCTGGTGCCAACACTGGAGTGGGATGATCTGGCAGCGCACGTGGACCTGTGGAAGGCGTATGCGCGGCAGCTATGCATGTGCCTTCTGTCAACCCATGAGCTCCTCTCCTCCCTTTTTCCCCTCCCTCCCCCTCCGCCCTTCCCACAGGCAGTGTTAGAGGAGTCGTTGAAGCTGCTGGCAGCAGGGAGGTTCGACCCGCGGCTGGTGCCAACACTTGAGTGGGATGACCTGGCAGCGCGCGTGGACCTGTGGAAGGCGTATGCGCGGAGGGGCGTGCGCGTGCTGCTGGCTGCCGAGAGGAAGCTCTGTGAACGGGTCTTTGACACCGTGGAGGTGGGTTGGATGCGGTGGAGCTCCCCTGCCTCTCTGCATAACCCCCCACCACCGCTTCTCTCATGAGGGGGTGAGGAGTAGCATGGGGCGGCTGTTTGTATGCTTGCTTTCCCTGCTGCCTCTCTCTGACCATCTCCCTTGCCTTCTGTCTCGCCCCCTCCCCTCGCCCACACACCCTTTATGGCACGGCAGTGAGCTGTGGTTTGCAGAGACGGCTAAGGGCAGCATGGGGCGGCTGTGTCCTCTCTCGTAACCCTTGGCGTTCTCCCTTCCCTACTGCCTCCCCTGTCCCCCCCTCTCGCACCCTAACAGGACAGCGAGCAGTGCTTTGCGGAGACGGCAAAGGGCAGCATGGGGCGGCTGTTTGACTTCGTGGAGGCATTCGCGGCGGGCCACAAGGCACCTGAGCGCCTCTTCGCCATGCTTGATATCTACGAGACTCTGCAGGAGCTGCAGCCCGATTTCAACGCGGTTGTGTGCGGTAAGTCACCTCTAGGACTGCAGAAGTAAACTCAACATTGCGGCGGGCCACAAGGCACCTGAGCGCCTCTTCGCCATGCTCGACATCTACGAGACGCTGCAGGAGCTGCAACCGGACTTCAATGCGGTTGTGTGCGGTAAGGCGCTTGGGTTAACCCAAACTTGATGATACAGCCCAGCCATGCTTGACATCTACGAGACTCTGCAGGAGCTGCAGCCGGATTTTGATGCGGTTGTGTGCGGTAAGGCCGTCGGATTAGCCCAACCCAAACCCAGACTAACTGGAACGGCTCCTCATGCTGGAAATCTGCAAAACGCCTCATCTTCCAACTTTCAGCCTATCCCGCATCCCTTTCCGCCTCAACTCAACTACCCTTCATCCCGAATTCCCTCCACCTTTCCCCCCCTTAGCTCCCCAGGCAATGGTGCATGCCGCAGTGTGCGCAACGAGCTATCAGTAGTGGGCGTGGTAGTGAGAGGCATTCTTGCTGATTATGAGTGAAACATAGAGCAGGAGGACAGCGCCCCCCCCCCCCAACCGCTTCCCCTCCTCCCCCCCTTTCTCCTCCCTTTCCCACCCTCCAGGCAACGGTGCTTGCGGTGGGCGTGGCGGTGAGAGGCATCGTCACTGACTTTGAGACATCTTGAAACTTCACTCCTCCCCACCTAACCACCATCCCCCTCTCCCTCCCCGTCTCCCTCCCGCACCCTCCAGGCAACGGTGCATGCCGCAGTGTGCGCAACGAGCTGTCAGTCGTTCTGAGCTACGTGGGCGTGGCGGTGAGAGGCATCCTCGCTGACTTTGAGCGCAACATAGAGCAGGAGGACAGCCGGCCCCCTCCCGCCGGCTCCGTGCACGGCCTCACCAGCTACGTTGTCAACTACCTTGGCCTGCTCTTTGAATACAGTGACACGATCAATAAGCTGTATAGCAGCAGTGGGAACGCGGTGGTGGTACCGGTGCCGAAGCTGCTGCGGCTGAGGTCGGACGAGGAGGAGGAGGAGGAGTTTGAGGAGGAGGAGGTGCAGGGGGAGGAGGAGGGGGAGGAGGGCGGAGTGGTGGGCGAGGATGGGAAGAGGTACTGGGGGGAGCCGCAGGAGGAGTATCGGGAGGTGGGGCGGAAGATTCGGGGGATTCTGAAGGTGCTGGAGGCGAAGCTTCTGGGGAAGGCGCTGACGTACCGGGATGCAGGGCTGGCGCACTTTTTCATGATGAACAATGTGCAGTACATTGCACGCAAGGTAAAGAGACGACTTTGAGGTGCCTCACAGGTGAAGAACGCGCAGCAGTACATTGTAAGACATTGCAGATAAGCTGGGAGGGTAGGCTGTGAGCTGTCTGTCCCATGCTGATGGGGCCTGTAGGATCAGATCAGGTCAGACGTGACTTTGAGCTGTCACAAGGCATCTCACGCCTCTTTTCTGCTCCAATCTCCCCCCCCTCCCCATCACACACTCTCAATTCAGGTGAAGGGGTGTGAGCTGCGCATGCTGGTGGGGGACGACTGAATCAGGGGCCGGGCAGACACGGCACAGCAGCAGGCGTATTACCAACTCAGGGTACCGTAGCTGGTTCATGTCTCAAACCAATGTTCTTTCTCATCCCCTCCTCTCTTCTTGCCTTGCGCAGGTGAAGGGGTGTGAGCTGCGAATGCTGGTGGGGGACGACTGGATCAGGGACCGAGCGGACACGGCGCAGCAGCAGGCAAACGAGTACCTCAAGGTGGCGTGGAACCGCGTCACGGCGCCGCTCAGAGAGGTCCCCACCACCTCCTTCCTCAACCCCAAGGGCTCGCTCAAGGTAATCCCAAGGGCTCCCTCCAGGTATTCCCAAGGGCACCCTCTTGGTACACTCAAGGGCTTCCCTGTGGTGGTTATATTTGCCTTACTGCGTGCATTATTCACCTGTGTATACGCCCTGCTTGCGTTGGCTCACTGTATTGTTCAATGCTGTTGCCCATGATTGCAACTTGCAGGAGATATTTAAGCAATTTACGACATTGTTTGAGGAGGCATGCAGGGTTCAGCGAACCTGGATGGTCAACCCTGGCCCTCTGCAGCAGGAGCTGCATCAGGCTGTGCGGTACAGGGTGCTATCACTGTACGCCCTATTCTACAAAACACATGGTGCCACACTGCGGCATCAAACGAAATATATTAAGTACACCCCGCAACAGGTGAACGAGATGATAGGGAGCCTCTTTGAAGGTCATCAAGGATAAATGTTAGAGTAGGTTGAGTTGACTATCGAGAGAAAGGGGTACAAGAGTGAGAACCCTAATGTGTTGTACCCTACATGAGCTACCCCACTAAAGCCTAACCTAATTATAAAACATATATATAGTTTGACACACCCCCATAGGCAAAGTGGGGGAGAACAAGGGGTCACAAGACCAGTCAAGAAAAGCAAAGCAAAGCAAGCTCGGGGTGTATCACAACGGCACCACACACTCGAGCACAAGCAGAGGGGTCACAAGGCCAGTTCACATGCAGAGGTATATATGCAACAGCAACAGTACAGTGATCACTACCTAGCAAGAGTAAACATGCAGGTATACAAATATATAGTGATCACAGTACAAGCAGAGTCTACAGCAAGTGTGGAAACGTAGGCACCAGGCCTAGAGCAGTGCAGAAGCGCTGATGATCACCAGCCGGAAGGGCCTTGGTGAACACATCAGCAGTGTTGGCCCGGGTGGGCACGTGAACGACACGAAGCTGACCACGCTGCTGCAACTCTCGAGCAAGGAAGTAACGCAGAGCGATGTGCTTCGTTCTGTGCTCCAGTCTGTGGTCCTGACACAAGGCAATGGCAGCCTTGTTGTCCACGTACAGAACCGGAGGAGAACGAGGCCTCTCTCCCAAGTCGGTCAGCAGGTAGGTAAGCCAGCGTAACTCTTGTGCAGCCATGGCTGTGGCGTAGATCTCAGCCTCACAACTGGAGCTGAGAACAGAAGACGAGCGTGTAGACCGCCAAGAAACAGAGCCAGAGCCAAGACTGAAGGTGTAACCCTATGACGACCGCTGCGTAGCTAGGTCGTCAACCCAAGAAGCGTCCGAGTGCCCAGTGAGGACAACTGGGCTCCGCCCTCCAAGCACGAGCCCCATGCCCGACGTACTGCACAAGTAGCGCAGTACCCTCTTAGCAGCAGCCATGTGCTCTGGTCGGTGCCTACCAGGAGCCACGTAGCGAGCGAGAAGGCCAAGAGGGTACGCAAGGTCAGGACGAGTGCAGGTCATCAGGTACATGAGGCAGCCAGGGCCCGTGCTAGGATTTGGGGCACCCTGAGCCCTCAGGGCACTTTCTAGAAACTAAAAAAATGCCCTGATTTGTCAGGACAAATCTTTGAAGGCATCCTGTAGCTTCAGGGCTTCAGCAAATTTAATCCTGACATGTCAGGGCAGAAAACTTTTGCTCAGGGTTCAGTTCTAGCACTTCTAGTAAGGCCTACCAGTGTGTGTGTGTACTACTACTGCTTTGGTGTTGTACCACTGGCTGGCACCAACATTGTCCTACGGTAATAATCCAGGCTCCAGTCCAGACCACCAGACCAGTCACCACCAGATCATACCACCAGATCAAGTTTGAGAAGTTTTACCACACCCCCCCCTCCCTCTCCCTTCCAAAAAACGCGTCTGGGGAAGCCTCTACGTTCATCCTGACACTACAGGGTACAACATTACGACCATCCTGAAGTTCCAGGGCATATTGAATGACAACATCATTAGATCACAGGGTAAAGATTACCACCATTCTGAAATTCCAGGGCAAATATAAAACTGCATCCTGAAATCAGGGTAATCAGGATGTTTTGCCCTGATATCGTGGGGCCTGCATGAGGCAGCCCACTAGCTCTGGGTACGGACCACTCGGCTCTACGGACTCGTCCGAAGGTGGAGCTGAGAGCGAGTGACCTGTAGCCAGAGGAGTGGACTGTGGCGAGGACCAGGTGAAGCCGAAGCGCTGAAGGACCTGCTGCACCATGTATGACTGAGTCAGTGTGATGGTGCGCCGTGCTCTGTCCCGGGTGATCTGCAAGCCAAGGTAACTACGCAGTTCACTCATGTCTGTGCACGTGTGTCTCTTCTACAGCTCCGACTTCACCAGGGCGAGAGCCTCAGTGTCAGCAGTGGCAAAGACCAAGTCGTCGACGTACACGAGGATGTTGAACGGCGGCAGCGAAGTGTCGGTACGCAGAAACAGCGACGGGTCAGCAGTGGAAGGAGCGAACCCAAGAGCCGCAAGCGTCATCCTCAGTGTGTCGTGCCACTCACGAGGCGCCTGGCGGAGACCATAGACTGGCCGCCGGAGGCTCCACTGGGTACCAGGAGGACTACCCAGTGAAGCCAGGAGGGCGGCGCAGCCAGATCTCCTCGTGCAAACTGCCCTGTAAGAACGCTGTGCTGAAGTCCAGAGAGTGAAGCTCGTAGTCACGCTGAGCGGCAACGTGCAGCAGCACCCGAAGAGTGGTAATCTTCGGGGTGGGGGAGAAGGTCTGGAAGAAGTCAACTCCCTGTCGCTGACTGAAGCCTCTAGCAACGTAACGAGCCTTGAAGACAGGCGGAGAACCCGGCTGCCGCTTCACCCTGAAAATCCACATGCCATCGACTACGTTCGCCCCAAGGGGGGGAACCTCATCGACGTAAGCGCCCGTGGACTTCCAGGATGCCATCTCTGCGTCCATGGCTGTCTGCCACTGAGAGGAGTACTCACCCGCGATCGCCTCAGCGTAAGAGCGCGGGGTCGGGATGTCTGGAGCATCCGGGTCTCCCTCAGGGGCAAGCAGCATGGCCACGAGATGAGGCGCAGCGGCTGCAAGACACTCAAAGTCCTCCTGCCTGTCCTCAAGGACGTCCGTGCCAAGAGCACACTCACCCCCGACGGACGGAGGACAGACAGACTCAGACTCAGCAACAAGACTAGCAGCGTAGTCTAGACGACAGGCAGCAGCAAAGTCAACAAGCTCAGCGACTAAGGCAGACGCAGCAGCAGACTCAAACGACGGGTCAGTGACAACAGTGGCTAGCAGACGCGTGACAGTAGGGTGAGCAGCACGAACCAGGTCAGACTCAGGGTCCGGAACGTCAGGCAGAGAAGACGCAGGAGGAGACGGCAGGGGAACACGCTGTGGAACAGAGGAAGGACGAAGTACCATGGCATGCGTGCCAGGGATAGGAGGCGGACGCTCACTAGGAACACGACGACCAGTGTGACGTGCGCGAACAGGTGAGGCAGGACGAGACGCAGGCTCACGACGCTCTGTAAGCGAGTCTGTCTGCTCAGTGTAAGGAGAAGGAGCGGGCAGTGGGGAGCCTGGCTGTAACGGGAGGCCAGTAGAAGACGGGAGGCTAAGAACCTGGCGAAGCACAGAGTCAGGCGGCGGCTGAGACGACGGCGACGGGGGAGCAAAAATCAGTCGCGGCTGTGCGGTGTCACCAGCACCAGTAGCTCCAGCGCCTCCAGCAGCTCCAGAACCTCCAGCTCCAGCGCCTCCAGCAGCTCCAGTACCTCCAGCACCTCCAGCGCCTCGAGCAGCTCCAGAGCCTCCAGCTCCAGTGCCTCCAGCAGCAGCACCCCCAGAAGCGGCACGCCCAGCTCCAGGGTCGACACCGCCAGCCCCAAGGCGTCCAGCCTCAGTACCTCTAGCAGCAGCACCCCCAGAACCAGCACCTCCAGCTCCACGCTCTCCAGCCCCAGCACCTCCAGCAGCAGCACCTCCAGAACCAGCACCTCCAGCTCCAGGGTCTCCAGCCCCAGTACCTCCAGCAGCAGCACCCCCAGAACCAGCACCTCCAGCTCCAGGGTCTCCAGCCCCAGTACCTCCAGCAGTAGCAACCCCAGAGCCGACACCGCCAGCACCAGGGTCTCCAACGCCAGAACCCCCAGTCGCAGCACCCCCAGACTCGGCACCTCCAGCGCCACGGTCTCCAGCCCCAGTACCTCCAATAGCACGACTCCGACGGCGGGTGCGCGACGCAAGCCATTCGCGTAGCTGCTGGCGCGAGAGGGGTGGCCGCTGCGACGCGGCACCAGGAGGACCGCCAGGAGACTCAGCACCCCCAGAACCGGCACCTCCAGCTCCAGGGTCTCCAGCCTCAGTACCTCCAGCAGCAGCACCTCCAGAACCGGCACCCTCTGGCTCAGTACCCCCAGGCTCCGCACTCGCAGGCTCAGCACCCCCAGGCTCCGCACCCCCAGCACCTCACGCACAGGCTCAGCACCCCCAGACGCAGCACCCCGAGCAGCACCACCCCCAGCAGCACTAGAGTCCACCGGAGCCGGCTGCAGAGGCGGCGAAGACGGTCGAGGTGGAAAACCCGGAGGGGTCGCCAAGCGTGGTGAGCGGCGGGGGGGCACCGCGACGTCAGCAGCAACGTCACCCCCCTCAGCTGGGCCAGAGGTGTCGGAAGTGACCTCGAAAGGCTCAGCCAAGGGGAGTGGGTCTACCTGAGACACACCTGAAGGAGCAGGACCCTGAGGGGGGAGGGGGTCTACCGGAGGGGGACCTGGAGCAAGGAAAAGCGGCGGCGGATGGAGGGGGGCAGTGCGGTAGGGGAAGAGACGGTAGAAAGGAACCGACTCGTCAAAGGTGACGTCCTGAGAGGGGAAGACACGGCGCGAGGTGGGGTGGTAAAACTGCCAGCCAGGCGCGTCAGGGACAAAGCCAAGGAAGACACAGGGAATGGTGCGGGAGGAGAGCTTGTCCGCGGACGTATCGCGGACAAAGGCACGAGCACCCCAGACTCGGAAACGCGACGCATCGCCAACCTCTCCCGTCCAACGCAGTGTGGGCGAGGTGTCTGGCAAGGAGACACGGGGCCAGAGGTTGAGCTGCTGCGCGGCGTACCGGACCGCAAACAGCCACAGAAAATGGGGAGCCGCCGCATGGATCAAGGAGGTACGAGCGATCTCCATGACCAAGCCAATGCGGCGCTCAGCAACCCCATTTTGCTGCGGTGAGCCCGGAAGCGTGAAGGACTGCTCGATGCCCTCCCCCTGACAGAAGGCCCGCAAGAGGTCGGAGGTGAACTCACCACCTCTGTCAGAGTGCAGACTCAGGACAGGAAGGTACGATCGGAACCTCCGGCGGAGCTGGAGACGAACTGCTCGGATCCAAGGGATCAGGACAGCAGGGACCTCACCCTTGGTGCGCAAGGGGAAGACCGTGGTGTAACGCGAGTAGTCGTCGACAACCAGCAGAAAGTACCGCTCACCGCCCTG